TAAAGATAATAATTAAGTATTCTGTTAGAATTCAATAATTATCCTAATTATATTTTAGATTTTTTATATTTAAAATGAGATGTTTATCCTGTATTTGATGAAATAGGATATGGATGAAATCGGATAGGGATGAACGGGTTTAGGATGGCTTTAACAGGTTGTACCATTAGCAATAAATGTTGTCTTTAAGAGTTTTAAGAGTTTAAGAGTTTTAAGAGTTTTTAAGAGTTTTAGCCAAATGCTTTATAATATAGTATAGATATAGATATTTATTGCTTTTTAATAAATTAAAACAACAAAATTGAAGACGATATGTATTATTCAAAATAACTAATATAATATATATATTATATGTGCGAGAATCAGTGTAAATAAGAAGACTAAATATCGTTGCAAGGTAAGACCTACAAGTTCATATGTTAATCATATTATAAAATTAATACGTGAATCTATATGAATAATTTGTAACATCGATTTACATATGCTTTTTAAAACAAACCGTCTTTCCTATTTTTTCGATGATCAGTGAACTTTACTTCTTATCTTCTCAGGATATATAACATTTTTATTTGAACCTCTCATTAACGTACATCAAGTTGTGAATCAATATAGAAACAAATACATTAACATCAAGCCACATACACCATTAATTGTATGAGGTTAGGTTCCGGTGAGAAGGGAAGTTAAAAAGTGAGAAGCGTAAGATAAGATCTCCACTCTTGGATGAATCATATGTATTACATGTTAAACAAGACGTGTCCTATATAAGTCCCTAATTACTCAATTAAGATCCAATGAAGTTATCTAAAATTACGACAAACAAGAGTCGTATAAAGAATAGGATGGAAACATCCCTTCAAACTGATCATCAACCATTATTTCTGACCTAAAAACATCATCAAGAAAATCGTACTCTGACCCACTACTCAACACCCCTTGTTCATGATCAGTAGCACACGACTCCACCGGTTTCCCATCAACAGGTGTACCTGCACCTGTGTTGGTGGTGGTGGTGGTCGGAGCAGCAGCGGCGGCATGGTGGAAGTAACCACCATGGTAGCGGCTAATATCGGAGTGACGACCAGTGAGTTCCTGGACCAGAGCTCTAAATTTGGAGGCACTGGTCTTGACCTTCATTGGAGAAGATATGTACACCACTTTAAGCTTGCTTTTCTTCCTGCTACATGAGTTCTTGGTGGGTCTGACAGCTGCAAGCATTTCTTCATCCATGGCGATTACAGATTTGGTTATGGAAGAGGTGTGGTGGCATTTAATGAATATATAGGAGGAACAGGAAAGGGTTGGTTTGGAAAAAGTAAGGTTAGGGTTTGAAAAGGAAAAGAAGGTTGACGAAGATTAAAGGAAGGTTCCATTGACGAAATCAAGATACTTTAGACCCGTACGTAAGTTCTTTGTTTATTTTAGTTTATTTAGAGAGGATGGATGCATGTGCGCAGCCATCAATGACCCGACAAATGTTTATTGTTGCTTAGATTAATTATAAAAATAAAAATCTAACACTGATAATAAGATGTACCAAGATATATCAGATCAATTTTAGTCGACTTTTCTCGATCTGAGGTTTGTAGTATGTTCCAAGTGTTGGGTTGTTCACCCGCTAAAGCAGTACGTGAGCTGAGTTCAGAACGTCGTGAGACAGTTTGGTTCATATCTGGTGTGGACGTTAGAGCATTTTGAGGACCTTTTCTTAGTACGAGAGGATTGAGAAGGACGCACCTCTGGTGTAATTTCTTTTTCGTCAATATGTAATACAATTTGCATTGTCTATGAGTCGTCGGCTCATTCTTCAAAAGACGTATATGGTAGGACCGTAACCATAGAATACGACCCGAATCGAAATGCTGAGAAACACATTTTATGGATAGGATAAGATTAAAAGTAGTGTTCATAAAAGATCACCACAACTGTCATCCTGGCACACCGTGGTTAAGGCTTGTCTCTCATACCACGTTAAGCTTGTGACATGTTATGACATAATATGCAATTTTTGTAACACAATATCTGAATTTTTTTTTTACCTTTTTAATGTCTTATTCACTAGTTTCGAATGTATAACCTAATTTAAATTATGTAATATCACTGACTCATTGATTATTAGTACAAAATATATGTTTAATATATATATATATATAAGAATTTATCGCCATAAGTCACACCTTGAAAAATGTCGTGACTCTTAAAGCTTGAGGCTTAACCTCGGCACCATGCTACGCCATGCCATTTAGAACCTTGATTAAAAGTGATGAAGGGCCTAGATCACTTCTTATTTTAACTCTTTTTCTCACACGATACTTCGTCATTGCACAAATTTAGAAAATATCATGTAAAGAAAAGAAGGGATGTTTATGTGAACCGACATTACAAATTATTAATATGGAATCACATCAGGATTTCCAAATGGGGTTTTTCGATGGTTCAAATATTAACATTCTACTCTTACCTTCTTA